AGACGGAGCCTCAAGCTATTGTCCTGGGTAGAGTGCTGTAGCATCACAGCTCACAGCAACCTCCAACTCCTGGGCTCAAGCGAGTCTCCTGCCTCAGCCCCCCAAGTAGCTGGGACTACAGGGGCCTGCCACAGCACCCGGCTATTTTTTGGTGCAGCCGTCATTGTTTTGTTGGGCCCAGGCTGGATTCAAACCCTCCAGCTTAGGTGTATGTGGCTGGCGCCTTAGCCGCTTGAGCCACAGGTGCTGAGCCTCATTTCATTTTTAATGTCTAGATTACAGATATTGCTTTCTCATGTGGTTAAATAGTATATTTTATTTGTGGCATAGGAAAACTGGAGTGCGTTTGCACCAGATTTCAAAGAATTGGATGAAAATGTAGAATATGAAGAAAGGGAATCAGAGTTTGATATTGAAGATGAAGATAAAAGTGAGCCTGAGCAGACAGGTAATATTTTTCAATTGCAGTTAGTATTTCCTAAAGGGAAAATAATTTCTTCACTTAATATTATTAATTTGTGTTGTAAATTTATTTCAATACTTAATCTAAAGTATCACTTTGTTCTTAAAGCTTACATAGTTTTCACAGTGTTTGGAGAATCCTAATTTATAAAGCACTAACTAGGGGCTTGTATGGGCATTACCAGAACTCAAACAGCTCCCTTGACATTTCACTTTGTATTTCTTGATTAATTGCAGGTGATTAAGTGCGGGTGGACATGCAGCAACCGCCAGAGCTCCCACATGTGCTCCTTGCTCTGCTTGTATCATGTGATCTATCTCACTGTCACTCAGTGAGAGAAAGGTCGAGAGCCTAGGCTCTGGTATCAGACTGCCTTGGATAAAATACTTTATTACTTACTTGTTAATTTCCTCAACTGTAAAATTGGGGCAATATAGTACCCGCCTTTCAGAGTTGTGGGGAATAAATGAAATAGTTAACGTAACACACTTAATATATGCATAGGCCAGCATTTGTGCTAGAATGTTAATGCAGCTCCATTCATAGTCGCCAAGATGTGGAATCAACCTAAATGCCCTTCAGTACATGAATGAATTAATAAACTGTGGTATATGTGTGCCATGGAATACTATTCAGCCATAAAAGGAGACTTTATGTCCTTTGTATTAATCTGGATGGAGTTTGAGAACATTTTCCCTAGTAAAATATCACAAGAATGGAAAAGCAAATATCCAGTGTAACCAGTAGATGAACAGATACATGCCCACACAAGAGAAAAACACAATTAAACTCAAATGAGGGGAGGGGGACTGGTGTGCTGTCATCTAGGCACAATGAAGGGTACATGGCACACCTTCTAGGGCAGGGGCACAAGCACAACTTGAACTGCCTCACAGATGCAAGCAATGTAACCTAATTATCTTGTACCCTTGTATTAATCTGACAAAACATATACATATAGATAAAAATAAGTGCCTAGGCCATAATAAGCACTCGTGTTATTTTCCATTATGATTATGGCTGTAAATATTCTTTTTATCTCTTCTGAACTTCTAGATAGAAGCACCCTGAGAATGAAAATTTGACTTTTTATCCTCATTGTGTCTAACTCAGGGCTTTACACAGAGTAGGGGTTCATGTGTGCGAATGCATAGTATGCCCAGTTGGCACTGTCAATGATTAATGCCACAGATCATTGACTTCTGGGCCACTTGATGGTACCAGGAATCAGGAAGTCAGGCTTGAGGTTAGTTCTGTACAGTTTCAAAGTGCTGGTCCTCACTTTTTTGATATTAGATGACTTTCATGCCTCATGTGTTTTAGGAAGACCTCCAGGGATGCAGTGTGTTCTGGATTATATTGACATTGTTGGGTTATGTTCTGTCAAGCCTTCCCAGACGTCCACATAAATTTTATCTCCTTGCACATACCTTTACTGTATCACTGACTATATTAAATTGAAATTATTCATTTGTATCTGTCTCCTCAATTAACCTATGAACCTTTTTCTGAAGAACTTTCCCCAACTTCCTTGGTCATTGCTCTATCTCCAATGCCTAGCATAGGTTAGAAATTCAGCACATATTTGTTAAATAATTAAGAAAAAGGAGCTGTTTTTTTTTCTTTGTTGTTTCTAGATTTCAGTTTATGAAAACTATTAATAGCTACAAGTAAAAAGCAGCTTTCTGCTTCTTCTCAAACCTTTCCCGTGTTTCTGTCCTGTAGGGGCTGATGCTGCAGAAGATGAGGAAGTGGATGTCACCAGTGTGGACCCCATTGCTGCCTTCTGTAGCAGGTGAGCCAGCGTAGAAGGCTGGGCCATTTAGAACACGCCTCCTCCCCAGTCTCAGGCAGAGGGATTAGGGTACTGCTGACTATCCCTGCAGTGCCATCTACCCAATAGCCAGAAAAGATAACTCCTTGAGTATACAAGAAATACAAAATAATCTTCTCTAGTCTTACTTTCCCAGCCTTTCTCACTGATGGAGAATTTAAGAAACTGAAGTAATTCATTGATCTTGTTTAATTTTACTACTGATTTTATTAATCGTATTGTCTGATTTTCTTTAATTCACCTTGGCTTTCTTAAAATTCTAGATCCATACTTGTTGCTTATGTTTAATATAGACAATGGAGGAAGGGCTTGTGGTTTAAGCAACTATCTCCTCTTTTTTCCAATCCCTTGTCTGATCCTGTTCCAAATAGTGATGAAGAACTGGAAGATTCAAAGGCTCTATTGTATTTACCCATTGCCCCTGAGGTAGAAGACCCAGAAGAAAATCCTTACGGCCCCCCACCGGATGCAGTCCAAACCTCCTTGATGGATGAAGGGGCTAATTCAGAGAAGAAGAGGCAGTCTTCAGCAGATGGGTCCCAGCCACCAAAGAAGAAACCCAAAACAACCAATATAGAACTTCAAGGAGTACCAAATGATGGTAAGAGTTTCATCTTCTCCCTGTTGCCCAACAAATGCCACTCTTTACAGCCCAGTGCACTCGGGTAATTTCCTACTTGAACAGTTGTACCTTAAAGGACTTTTCCTAGGAGTCTTTCTCATAGTGCTTTACAACTTTCTAGTGGTTGCATTTGTGTTCACTTCTTTTATAAAATGGGGAAGTTGTCTCGGCGCCTATAGCTCAACCGGCTAAGGCGCCAGCCACGTACACCAAAAAAATAAAATAAAATAAAATAAAATAAAATGGGGAAGTTTTGCCCTTTAGTACCTTGCCCCTGAGGTGACACACTTTGAAGTCTTGTGAAGCTTGGCTCAAGGTTTCTTTTATTATACTATTCTTCTTTTTTAAGAGAGTGGTTTTATTAGGTGGTAAAGTACTAGTTGGACTTAGGCAATCATTTCATTCTTTCTGCCTTCTTTGTAGACTGACTCTGGAAGTTTTTCTTTTTTTTTTTTTTTTTTT